AGAACTGTCCACTTTATTTTGAGAACTTGGACCCCTCCAATTCAACTAGACTGGCTGGCCAGTGGGCTCTGGTGAGCCCCCTGTCCCTTCTCTCCCCGGTGCTGGGGTTACTGGCACACAGCTCTGCACAGGGCTTTTATGTGGATGCCGGGGACCCAAACTCAGGAACTGGAGGGTGCTGAGAACTGAATCCAGTTCTCTGCAAGAACAGTAAGTAAGAGCTCTTAACTGCTGGGCTTTCTCTCCAGCCTCCTAGAAAAAAATTAACATTTATTTAGTGTGTGTATGTGTGTGTGTGTGTGTGTGTGTGTGTGTGTGTGTGTGTGTGTAAGAATGTGTGTGTGAGCCGGGCGGTGGTGGCGCACGCCTTTAATCCCAGCACTCGGGAGGCAGAGCCAGGCGGATCTCTGTGAGTTCGAGGCCAGCCTGGTCTCCAAAGCGAGTTCCAGGAAAGGCGCAAAGCTACACAGAGAAACCCTGTCTCGAAAAACCAAAAAAAAAAAAAAAAAAAAGAATGTGTGTGTGTGTGCATGTATAATATGTGTGTATATGTATGTATGTGTGTACACATGTATATGTGTGTTTGTTTGTGTGTATGTATATGTATATAAGTGTGTGTATGTGTGTGGGGGGGACATGCATGCCACAGTATGCTTGTGGAAGTCAGAGGACAGCTTTTTTAGGAGTTGGCTCTCTCCTCCTACTATGTAGGTTCCAGGGATTGAACCAGTCAAGGTCACCAGTCAAGACAATACACAGGCCGGGCGGTGGTGGCACATGCCTTTAATCCCAGCACTTGGGAGGCAGAGCCAGGCGGATCTCTTTGAGTTTGAGGCCAGCCTGGTCTACAGAGTGAGATCCAGGACAGGCACCAAAACTACACAGAGAAACCCTGTCTCAAAGAACCAAAAAAAAAAATTTTAAAAAGATGATACACAGACACTCAGTCCAGGGACAAGGTGGGAAAAGAAGACCATGTCAGTGCTGTCATTGTGGCCAGGGGTGGACTACAAACAGATGTCCATGACAGAGCAAGAGACAGACAAATGTGGGGTACACACTACAGAACATAGGCAGGCAGATCAGGCCACAAGTGGCCAAGTGAATGGGCCCTGAAGGTGCTGAGTGGACATGGAAAGACCCCACCAAGGGTCTGCAGCTCAGCCTGGAAGTTAAAACTACAGATGCCCAAAGCAATGAAAAGCTTGTGTTCACACCTAGGATGGCATTTTTATCATTCATGAGGTATTTAATTGGACAGAATTCCTTCAGAGTCAGGGTGAACAGCAGGCTCTGGCATTTGCCCAGGTGTGTTTACATAGCTCATGATTTATCATCTCAGTGGTTCCCAGTGAGGTCTGAGAGCTGGAACCTGTAATCAACCTTTGAGCCACCTCAGGAAACAGGAAAGGGCACCCTGGACCAGTGAGTGCTGCCATGTCCCAGCTCCTCCTGGTAATCCCCACTCATCTCCAAGGTTTTTAAGTATTCAGGGCTATCAATTGTAGCAGAATGGTGGAGCTCTTGTCTACCATGCATGAGGCCCTTGGTTAAATTCCTAGTACTCAATGAGGATTTGAGACCAGACTGGGCAACATAAAGAGGCCCTATCTCAAATGAATACCACCCCCAAGTCCCCTGTCCACAGTGCTCTTGCATTGGTTTAAGATTTATGCTCCCATCCTGTATAATATTAGAGGGACCAGCCTTAATATTATACATCCCAGGGGCTCAGGAGAGAGAACTATGAACAGCGAGGACTATTTTCGGGAAATAGAATCTCAGCACACCGAGCTCTATAGAGACTGTAGTTCATTTACTTTAATTCTCTGGAATAACATCCTATTTACACAGCTTCAGTTCTGTTCTCATGCCTAGCTCCTTTCTTGCCTGATTTCTCTCTATATTTATCTACTGCTCCCTCTAAGTTCTATATTAATTCTCTTGTTCTTACCCAGCCAGTACTTCTCAATCTGACTCTTCCTCATCTTCCATCTCATCCACATGTTCTCTCTGGTCAAAATCCTCCTTATCCCTCTCTGTTCTCCATCTCTCCATCCTCCCCAAGTCTCTCAGGAGTCCAGTTATAAACCCAAGCAGTAACAATCCCCTGGTCAAGCAAGGTCACCAGGCTTGAATTCTACAGGGTCATAAAGGTAGGTAAGGATTTTCCTCAGGCAGTGACCACCAGACTTCCAGGGTCAAACGGAGGGGTGATAAGAATCACATAGAGGGGCAGTAATTTTTAATTATCATTTGCAACCCAAAAGGGAAGTGACTGATGGGGAAATGAATTAACTAAAGGCTAAATTCAGATAATATCTAAGAAGAGGGATCTTATGTGCTCCACTATAGTCTTAAGTGTGATTGGTAGAAAATGCTAAGAATCTGTAAGTTGCTAGGTCAATGGGAGGAAATAAAACTGCCTTCTTCTTTCCTGTGGCTCCTATCTGTCCAAGCTATCTGCCATTTTTCTGCAGGGTCGGGGAAAGTGTGCTCAGTCGCTAGGCAACCTGTGTACAGCTAGATGCCTCTGGTGATAGTTAAAGGGAGATCTGGAACTAGAGGTAAGGTTTGGGAAAGGAGGAAGTTAAGCTTAACTGGCACATCCGCCAGGCCTTCTCAAACAGGTAGTCTGGATGCTTAAGTCTGTTCTTAGAGAGTACAGAGGTATCTCTGATAAGGAACTTTCCTCCATCTGGGGATGGACCTGGCTGGATGCTGCCAATGATGATAATTACAGGGAGGCTTGAACTGGGGTTCTGGCTGAGCATAGCTGTCAGCACAGAAAGTTATCTAAATATTCCTAGAAGTGGTTAGGTAAGGAGTTAGCAGTCTATATAGTTAGTAAGGCTGTAAGAAAGGAGGGTCCAAGCTAAGTTGTGTAAAGCTATTACTTAATGTCCACCTGACCTAGGCGGTGTCTCCTTGTGGAATTTACCTTAAATCAGGAGACTAGCATGTGGACTGTTATTATTGTTAGTCCTTGAAAATGGCTAAGGGAGATTCTGATTCCAGAGGGAGCCTTTCCTGAGGCTGTTCTCCAAGTGCCTTGAATGTGTATGTCCAGAGAGTGATCAGTCCACACTGTTAGCCCTTTTTAGGGAAAAATTAATTGGGAAAACTATGAAGGCACACATGATTTTCATAACAGAAGACAGCTGATATATAACAAGCCAAGTAACACCAAAAACTCCTTGGAATTTGGCTTCCTCTGAAGGAATTCCTTGATCCCTTCAGGTAGTGACTTTGCCATAACCAGCTTAGTTCTTATGATATATTTCTGCAGTCCGAAGCACTCCCGGGGCTGGAGAGATGGCTCAGTGGTTAAGAGCACTGGCTGCTCTTCCAGAGGACCTGAATTCAATTCCCAACAACCACATGGTGGCTTGAAACCATCTATAGTGGAATCTGATGCTCCCTTCTGGCATGAAGGTATACATGCAGAATACTCATACATAAAATATAAACAAATTAAAAAAAAAAGATTTATGCTCTCCTTAATCCTGTCTAAAATCATGGGCATCTTGCCTCAAAAGATGTTCCATGGATGCCTAAAAATGATTGATAGCCATGAATTTTTTTTAACTGTGGTCTATAGGCTTTTGAAAAGCCAATAAATTACGTGTGCCAGGCCTCACTTTTTCTATTGTCAAAACAGGTCTGTTCTCAAGTACAGCACAGAGAAAACTTTTCTTCCCATGCTGCTCTCAGGAAGGTCTCTCCTGGAGCTGTCCACACCAAGTCCCAGCTAGACCGAAAGGACAGCTGAGGGATTTCTTCCTCCCTAGACTATACCAGGAGCCTCACAGCCCCAGGGCAGCTCAACTGTACCTCTCTTCTAGTTCCTCCTCTTAGCCCTCTTAGACCCAGGCCATGACATTGATATGGATCTCAGACTCTGTAGCCCAGGCTAATCTCAGACTCCAGGCAGCCCACCTGCCTCAGCCTTTTAAGAGCTGGGATTAAATTTGGAGACACTTTACCCAACTAAGAGCCAATCTTTTTATTTTTCTTTGTTTTTTTTGAGACAGAGTTTCTCTGTGTAGCCCTGGCTGTCCTGGAACTAGCTCTGTAGACCAGGCTAGCCTCAGACTCAGAGATCTGCCTGCCTCTGTCTCCCAAGTGCTGGGATTAAAAGTGTGCAGCCAGGCAGTGGCAACCGGCTGTAAGCTTAGCATTTGGAAGATAGGAGGTAGAGGCAGGAAGACCAGGAGTTCAAGGCCAACCCCAGGTGTAAAGTGAGTTGTTTAAGGTCAGCCTGGGCTATATAAGACCCTATCTCAGACAAACAAACAAACATATTCAGCCACTGGAGTCCAGGACAGGGTGAGCTGTTGGGAAGTAGAGAATGGGTTTGTGTAAGTCCCTTACCCACCCTGCACCTCAGATTCTCTACAGGCAGACCAAGACTAAGCAAGCTCATGATGGAAACCACTCAGGCCTGACGTAGAGGTGAGGGAGCCGATAGGTTCACCGATTGTTTCTCGGCTGAGGAATTGGTTGAAGAACCATGGGGAGCAGGAGATGGCTGAGTGGGCCAAATGTTTGCCACTTAGGTGTGAAAACCTGACTTTGGATCTCCAGAACCTACCCAGAGACTTCGGAAGCAGCGCCTGGAACCCAGCGCTCTTGCCGTGAGATGAGAAGCAGAGACAAGGCAACCCCTGCAAGTTTGCTGACCAGTCAGCCCGGCATACACAGCGGCAAACAGTGAGACAGGGTGAGGACTGACACCTGAGGCTAGCCTTGACTACTGTGGCATGTATTCACCTGAACTTCTCTCTCTCTCTCTCTCTCTCTCTCTCTCTCTCTCTCTCTCTCTCTCTCATCATACACACACACACACACACACACACACACACACACACACACATACATACACACACACACACACACACATATACACACACACACTCACCAGAGAGATGGTCTCTGGGATGACCCTTTTTGACCAGCATACCCACGCTGTGTGCTGTGGACAGGGCAGACGGCCATACCTCTGCAATGGGGCTTTTCTCCAGTCCAGGTGCCATTAGCAAGACACACCACACTGCTGGGACCAACCAGCCGGAACCCAGGGTTGCAGGTAAAATGGACTTCATGGTCCACCAAGTACTTGCTTCCGAACTTCTTGCCATCGGGAGGGGCGTCCAGAGCAGGGCAGGAAACTGTAAGGCAAAGAGGAAGGATTAGGAGCCCTCCCCCTGGGCTGCAGCTGTGGAGGCATGGAGGTCACTCAGAAGAGCCCCCCACCCCTGCCCCGTTGAATGATTGTTGCAGACTGGGCGTGGAGCTGGACCTTCTAAACGCCACATCTCACAAAACCCTCCCTGTGTTCTTGAAGACGAGGAGGGGAACACACAGTTGGCCTAGTGAAAGCTGGGGAAACCGATACGCAGGGACCCTGAGGGTCACTCAGAGACCCTAAGGTCGTATGCACAGGGTCGTAGAGTGCAGTGCCCAGCACCAGATTGATGAGGCCAACACTTAACTGCCTCTGCTTCCTCTTGTCGCCAGCCTCCTGGATGTCCTAAGTCTCCCGAACAGCCTCAGCCTACCACCAGGCCAGCCCCTCCTTCCTGCTCTCCGGGTCTCTACTCAAATGTCACTACTCTCCAGAGGGATCCCTGGCTACCAAGCATCTCTGTCCCCAGGCCACTTTGCTTTCTTCTCAGCGTTTGTGAGGACTGCAGTGTGTCTTCACGCTTACTCTCCGTGTTCTCTGCCTGAGTGCAGGTCTGGCCTGCGTCCTTTCTGCTGCCCCCAGCCAAGTGCACGGCACACAGAGTATGTTCTACAAGTGAGCCTTGAGAGAAACATGCTTGATTGAACCTCTGAAGAAAGCCTTCCCCAGGAAATGTTACCTCACACAACTAAGAAGACCCAAAGACAACAGTCACAGAGTACCAATGATGTCAGGGATCCCACAGGCTCCATCTCCTGTCCCCTGGGCCCCTAGACCAGGAGAAACCCAGTGCTCACCTCTAGGCCTAGAAAGTATAAAAGATGTCACCAGGAAAACATGACCCAGTGTTAGAGCTCTCCCATTAGTGGAGGGAAACTGGGGTATCCCACTGTAACCCAGACAAGTGGGACTTACCCCAGAAGCCCTTCTTCTCACCCCAACTGGGTGAGTCCCTGGAGAATGTACTTTCAGGTATGAAAAGCCAGAGCCGGCTGGGCAGTGGTGGCACACACCTTTAATCCCAGCACTTGAGAGGCAGAGGCAGGTGGATCTCTGTGAGTTCGAGGCCAGCCTGGTCTACGGAGCAAGTTCCAGGACAGGCTCCAAAGCTACACGGAGAAACCCTGTCTCAAAAGACTAAAAAAGAAAAGAAAAGAAAAAAAGAAAAGCCAGAGCCATGCTGGTTCATGGAAAATAGCAAATACTGTGAGTGCAGCCTTCTGGGCAGGTCGGGGCGGAAGGTGAGCCTGGGAGGAGGGCATGTGTGAGAAGTATCTGGGCCTTCCAGGCTGTGAACTTAAAAACCAGTTTGGAAAATAGACTGTTACACTAAAAATAAAAACAGGAACAAAAGCAAAATCAGAGTCCACTGTGCTCTCTGGGGAGGGCAGGGAGAAGTGAAAGGCACCTAGATTTACAAAGTGATGATTTTGACCATTCTGTGGGATCATAGGTTGCTACCTATGTAGCTATTAAGCCTAGAATAAAAGGTATAAGAGGAAATGGGCCGGGTGTGGTGATTAAACCATAGCTTTTGGGAGGCAGAGGTGAGAGGATTTTGGGTTCCAGGGCAGACTCTGTCATTTAAAAAAAAAAAAAAAAAGGCCTGGAGATGCAAATCATAATCCCAGCACTCGGGAGGCAGAGGCCGACGGATCAGGAGTTCAAGATTGTCCTTGGTTACACAGCAAGTTTGAGGCCAACTTGAGCTACATAAGATAAGAACAAAACAAGGGGGCTGAGGAGATGGTTCAGAGGTTAAGAGGGCTTGCTGCTCTTGCAAAGGACCGGGGAGCCAATGCCCTCTTCTGGCCTCCTCGGGCATATGCACACACATGTGCTTACACACAGGCACACATAAATAAATCATAAACAAACAAACAAACAAACCTGGAAATAGGTGACTGTCAAATATGAGGGAGAGGAGTAACCTTAATGCTCACATGTGTGTATGTGTGTGTGTGTGTACCTGTGTGTGTGTGTGTGTGTGCACACACACACAGGTACACACACACAAGGGGCCAACTGGATGGAGAGAGTTGCCCAGAAGGTTCCTGAGTGCAGCTCTTGGCCCTCGCCTGACGATGTGGGACCCACCTGGAGGCGCATCTGGGGCGACTTTGCTCACAGTGTTTTGCAGCGCAGCCAGCCGACTCTTCATGTTTCTGATGCCTTCAGCGAAGCGGGTCTCCTGGCCCTTCAGCAGCTGCTGCAACTGGCGGATGGTTGTCAGGAGCTGCTGTTTATTGAGACAGCTCTGGGGAGAGAAGAGACTGTTGTAGCGGGCTTCATCCTACCATCGTGCTTCTGGGTTTCAGAAATCCGAACCACGGGCTTCAAACTCCCTGGCGCCTCATAAATCACCTTGGTCGAGCAGCCTCTCCCAGGCACCCCTCCCTGCCAGGTACCCTACCTCATCTGTTCTCAACCTATGAGTTTCGACCCCTTTGGGGGTGGAACAACCCTGTCACAGGGGTTGCCTAAGACCATCGGCAAATCAGATATGTAGGATTCATCACAGTAGCAAAACTGCTGTTATGAAATCGCAAGGAAAATAATTTTATGGTCGCAGCCACCACAGCACGAGGAACTGGATTAAAGGGTCGCAGCACTGAGAAGGTTGAGAACCACCGCTCTACCTGAACAACGGCGTCTGCAGGGTTAAATTGCTTGGTGACAGCCCAAGACACGTGCCATAGCCCCACTTCACCCCTTGGCACCACAAAACAAGGGCAAAGCTGGTGACTGAATGACCAGGGCCTGAAGCAACCAGTGAACCCCAAGTTCCTATAGTCACTGGTCTGTCACTCCAAAAGACACACGAATTCCTCCTCACTCTGAGTGAAGACTCAGTTCCAGGCTGGGTGACATTTCCTTTCTTTCTCCATTAGACACTTTGAAAAACAAGACAACAGTGGAGCACACAGACAGTCAGGGAGCCCTCCCTGGTGGTGCCTCGGCTTCTAAAAACATAACAAGTAAAATAAGGGGGAAAACAGAAGAAAGAGGTGTTCGATACAGTCAATGTCCAGTTTTGGTGATTTTTAATAGTTTTTTGTTGTTGTTGTTGTTGTTGAGGGAAATGGGATTGTACTTAACATTGGCAAAGACTATCTGACTTAAAGCAACTTCAACATCACACTGGATGATAAAAATGGCAAGGTTTCCTTGCAGTCTCCATTACTGTCAAGAGTGAGGACATCAGGGGCCAGAGAGACGGCTCAGTGGTGAGGAGAGCTTCCTGCTCTTGCAGAGAACCCAAGTTCAGTTTCCAACACACACAGGAGCAGCTGAGACCGGTTGAAAGCTCCAGGGGATCTGACGCTCCAGGGGTCTTCCGGATTCTGAGGCCTTCTGCACGTACACATTCACACACTGCCGATCCCCTACCCCACCCCTCACACACATACACGCATAGTTGAAATAGAAGAAATCTTAAAAAGAGCCGTGGGTGGGGGCAAGAAAGGGAGTATCCAGGAAGGAGAAAGGCCCTTAGCCTTGGGTAATCGATTCTGGCCCAAGGTCATTCTCATTCATTTGGGAACTGTATGTCAGGAAGCGTAATCTGCCTGACCTGGCTTGGATTACTTGCACAGGAGGAAAGGCAATACATCAACACTGTGATGATGCAAATTTAGGGACATGGATCATTGTTTATTTGGGGCTCTTTCCCAAGTATCAGTTGTGTGTATTGTAGTGTGTATATATGTTCATGTGTGTGGCCATGTGTGTGCAAGTGGACATATGTAGAGGCCAGAGGTTGATGTTTATGTTTTCCTCAATTGCTTTCTCACTGACCATAGAGCTTACTGGTTCCAGTAGACCAGCTGTCCAGCAGACTCCAGGGATGCTCCCGCCTCTGCCTCCCCAGCTTTCACAGGGCTGCTGGGGATCTGAACTCAAGCTCTCTTGTTTGTGTGGGCACTTTACCATGTCCCCAGCCCCGTGTAAAAGTTTTATAATGAAAAGAAATGCGTACAAGTCGGGGAGGCAGCTGGGCAGCTGAGGTATGTGGCCTCCAGAGCCTGGGCAGTGTCCAACCTCTCGGTGGAGCCGCTGTGGTCACAACGGGCCACTCTCCCGGAGAGACTGCCAGGCCGCCGCCACCGCCGCCGCACCTTCTTTTCACCAAACGCATGACTCATGGGCTAGAGTCAATGGACGCTTTTGACAAAATCGAGTTCCCAGTTGCCCCTGGAACTCGTTAATCCACAGGGGCTCCTTGGCCTCCACCATAACCGGGGCCTGATGAAGCATAGCCCCAAAAGCAACTACCGGGAAGAGAAGTTTGTTTTTCTACTCCCCCACTGTTGGCCATCCTTTCCACTCCAGTCCCAGGCATCTGGGCGATGACCAGTTCTTACCTGCCTGGCACTGCGTGGCCAACTCCCCCAGACCTGAGCTCCCACACCTAATCTTCCTGTGCTAAAAAAGAAAACGGATGTCTTTGTGGCTTGTGTCAATTCCATTTGGGATGTGTTTCTGCCGATAAAGACACGCTTCTCTTGCTCAGAGGCTGCTTGGCAGCTGGCTGGCATCCACGTGTGGAGAAGGCAGCCTCTACTTGTGATTATTATTAGGATTATGATAGTTCCCATGTCACACAGAAGCTGAAAGTCAAGTGATTTGACTCAAATCCTGTAATCTGTGAGTGGTAGAGTCTGGACACCTGGGACTTCCAACCTTCCCCAAGGAGCAGACTTACTTGTTCTCACATAACACTGTGTGGTGGGATCTTTTTCTGGAATTTACACTAGGAATTAACACCCCTGGAGTGAATGTTTAACTCTTGTGCAAGTTGGAGATTTAACACTGGGACAGGAAGTAGTAGTGTGGGGAGGTACCTCTCCTCACCCAGATGTCAGGTCATGATGTGTGGGAGGGATCTTGCTGGGTCCAGGGATGTGCAAGGGCTCGGTGTTGAAGGGAAGAGTTCTCAATGCCAGACGCTTTGCTGGGAAAGGCGAACGCATGGGAAGCTGGAGTGAAGCCCTGGGGCCCCAGGAAGTAGTGACAAGGGGGAAAGGGCCTGTTACCATGTGGCCACTGGGCAGCCAGGTTTCTCTAGCCTCAGAGCTGCCCCTAAGGACAACTACCACCAGATGCTTCACCCCTCCAACTGTCCCTGGGGCGTGACCTAGCAGTGCTGACTACACAGGCGAAGAGGGAGCCAGCTGGAAGGTCTGTGGTGACTCAACAAGGAAGGCGGAAGGCTCTCTCTGACACACACACCCCTGTCTGACCTGTGTCAGGTAGTGTAAGGAAGATCTCAGGTGCTCTCGGCCAGCTGTGCTGCCGATGAGAGGCAGGGGCTGAGGGAATGAGTACTTTCCACAGGGAGTCCGAGGGTCCTTACCGCAGCTGCCACTAACCAGGCAGGTCTCTAATTCCAAAATGTTAAACATGGAGCTGGTGGGAGCCAGGCTCAGAATTTGCTTCCCCAATCCAGAACCAAGTCCGCCTGTGAATGGGGTGATGGGGCTGGAACCCCTGTTCAGCCAGGGCAAGTGCTCAAGAGGCATGAGTTTGGGGGACAAGTGGGTCATGGAGGAAGAAGATAAAGGGTCCAAACGGTCCCCATTTTCAAACTGAGACAGTATCTATCATCTTCACTTGTTCAGGGAAAGCATCCACCTTGAAAATCAATTCAAAACACAAAACTGATCCAAACAAAGAGACACCAACGTTAACTTCCTACTCAGTGTTACTTCCCTCGACGGACCAAATACTCGGACTTGGTTCTGGAGGTTTGTTTTTCATCTTTTTCTTGAAGAGATTCCCTTGGTTGATGTGAGCATCTGTCCCTAGCTGTCAGGCTGGAAGGACGGGACAGTGGCACAGCTCTTACCGAGCAGGTTCAAGGTCGTTAGTTTGATGATCACCAAAACAAAAGTGAAAACCAAAACAGCAAAAACCACAGGCTCCAGACCCAGCTTATGCCACTGACAAGAACCCGTGAGAAAAGTGTCTCTATTACTTTTTAATAACATTTAAGGTGAAACCAAGATGGGCAGGGAAATTCTTCCATAAGAAGACCAGACTTTATCTTTTTTTATTTGAGACAAGGTTTCTCTGTGTTTCCCTGGCTGTCATGGAACTTGGTCTGTAGACCAGGCTGGCCTTGAGCTCACAGAGATCTGCCTACCTCTGCCTTCTGATGGCCGGGATTAAAGGCGTGGGCCACCATGCCTGGTTTAGGGTTTCTCATTGTTGTTATGCTACTCTTGAAAGGGACAGCACTTCACCTAACTCAAACCCAGACTCAGGGTGGACAGATATGAAGCCTTCATTGAGGAGCGGGGTCATACCATCAGCTCTTCTCAGGCATAGATGATTCTATAATATGATGTCAGTGCTGAGAACTAGGCAGAGGCGCCAAGAGGGTCTAGAGAGTGATGAGAATACTCTGTCTGGGGCTAGAGAGATGGCTCCATGGGTAAGAATGCTTGCCTAGCACTCAGGTAAAAGGCTGGGCATGGGTAAATGCATTTGTAACCCTAGGGCTGTGGGAGTGGACGACAGGAGGGTCACCGGAGTTGACCCTGCTCTAGGTTCACCGGGAAAGTCTGTCTCAAGGGAGTACAGTATAGAGTGATGGAGCAGGGTGCCTGATGTCCTCCTCTGGCTTTCACGAGCAAGTGTACACGCACACACACACACACACACACACACACACACACACAAATATTTCATCTCCCCTCTCCTCCTCAGGGAAGTCCTTGTTCACCCTTTCATACTTGTCTCTCCCACAGTATTTGCTCAAAGCCCCTCAGAACTCACCATGTTCCTCTTTCTTTGAGAAGCAACCAGGAGAAATGAGTCTGCAGACATTTTATACCCAGATCCCACCAGTTGACTGAAGCAGCCACAGCTAAGGATTGTGTACGACCCCAAGATTACCTGTCCCCATCCCAGAATTTAGTAGGCCTAGCCCTTCCCCTCCCTCTCATCCCACCAGCCTCCTTGTTATCGGGCTCAATTTATAGATAAAGTCAAGACCCAGAGTCTACTGTCAAGACTCCCACAGGCAGGGTGTATGGGGTGAGAGCTCTGGATGGTCCTTGAGGCTTTTCTGTAGCCAGCTGAGAGGTCTTCTTCACAATGCCAATGTGTATTAGCGTGGTAACGATTTCCAGAGTTACCTTGCTGATGGAGTCTTGGGCTCTCGGGTGGCCACAGATGACCCCTCAGACTGGGAGGGGTTGCCTCTCATGCTCCTTTCTCCTAAGCCACAGCTATGTGTCTCGTCAGCATATT